AAACTCTAACATTTCCTGTATGTGTAATTGCAATACCCAGATATTCTGCGCTTTGTTCAGTCACTCATAAACACCTGGGGGTTCAAAATTTTTCTGCTATCCTGGAAAACTGCAGTGTTTCCTTCCAAACAGCATAGCTATCTCTGTGCTATTTCCATTGCTAACTCTAGAGTGTCTTTTTTGTCTGACTTTTACTTGGCCAACTACATCTTAGATGGCCAGAGCTCTGTCGTGTCTTCCAGCACATACAAGCGCATAGCCTCAAACTCACATCCCATCTCCTCCCAGTTTGTGTTTCTACAGGCACAGCCAATCTCTGATCAAGTTTCGCTTGAACTAGGACTAATGTGACACAAAATAATTGAAAGTAATATGAAATTGCACTGTGACTGGCATATCCTAGATTTATCATAAACCTGAGGATTTATATGAAAACTAAGATAACTCATACTATTACCTGGAAGTTGTTTTGCTATAGACAGTGGACAAAGGAAGAAATGTGGGTGTTTTACTTGTTTAACAAGTCACCTGTGCAGCGCAGCTGCGAAAAAGAGTGTGATCCAAGGGGGCATCTGATAAAATGATTCACATGGTGAGGCCACATCTGCAGTACTGTGTCCAGCTCTGGACTCCACAGTACAAGAGGGATGTGGAGCTGCTGGAGAGAGCAAGGCCACAAGGATGATCAGGGACCTGGAACATCTGCCCTGTGAGGAGAGGCTGAGGGAGCTGGGCCTGTTCAGCCTGGAGAAGAGAAGGCTGAGAGGAGGGGACCTGATCAGTGTCTATAAGTACCTCAAGTGAGGGAGTGAGGAGGATGGTGCTGGCCTCTTTTCAGTGGTGGCCACCGACAGAACTACTGAGGAAACAGCCACAAACTGAAGCATCAAATGTTCCACAAGAACTTAAGGAAAAAATTCTTAACAGCGAGGGTGACAGAGCACTGGAACAGGCTGCCCAGAGAGGTTGTGGAGTCTCCTTCTCTGGAGATCTTCAAAACCCGCTTGGACGCAGTCCTGTGCCACGTGCTCTAGGTGATCCTGCGTGTGCAGGGGGGTTGGACTAGATGACCTCTAGAGGTCCCTTCGAACCTTAAGCAACCTTTCTATGTCTTATAGAAATGTTGGCCTGAAGACTGCCAGTGTTTGATTTCTCTGGTATAGTATTGTACGGTCTTAATTCCTGTATATCAGCCTGCTCTAGGGGTGTGAAACAGTCCTTGAAGACATAAAGCTTTTTGTTCAAGTAAACAAAAGTAAAACATACAGAGCTTAAATCAAATATATTCCATTTGTGTCAGTTGAATAACAAGATATGTGTTGAGAGTCTGAAAGATGTTAATAAATAGGAATAGTCATAATAATTATTAATGACTATTCAATAAGCAGAATAAAATACTGTTTGGTAATTAAATATTGCCTTGAATCTCTGGATCACAAAAGCACTTTATTATTATAAGTAAATGAAAATACCTATCATTTTACTGTTTCCTTTTGAGGTAGATAATTACTACCACAGCTTTCAAGAATGAGGTATTTGAAGACTGCAGCTTCTCATATCAGGCTAAGAAATAGGCCCAAGCCTTTAATATAGACATTAGCCAACAGATCAAGTAGAGAGAAACAGTAGGTCTATGTTTGCATTCACGTTTGTGGGAAGAATTGTGTGGGAACTATGTATGGTGTGCTGAGGTCTCACATGTGCATATCCTGTGAAGAAAGGGTGAGGGAACGGCGTATTCAGCTTGGGGAGAGGTGGCTTTTGTTGACCTAACAGCTGCCCACAGTGTCTAAGACAGAACCAGGCTCTTCACAGCGAAACACAGACAGGAGATGACAGGTGTAAGTTGAAACAAAATAGTTGAGACTAGATATAAGGAGAAATTTCTTCCCTGGGTAGACATCCTGGCAGTGGAGCAGGTGGCCCAGAGAGGCCAGGAAGTCTCTGTCCTTGGAGGTTTTCAAGATCTGAGTGGATAAAGCCCTGAGCAACCTGGTCTCCCTTCTCACCTGACCCTGCTTGAACAGGATGCTGGACTAGACACCTCCTGAGCTCCCTTCTGACCTCAGCTATCCTATGAGCCTGTGATCTTACATCTCTCAAATACATTAGTTGCTTCACTGACACCTGGCAACTATGCTGGTCTGTAGTTTGGTCCTGAAATCACAAATTGATACTTCTGTGAGTAGATTTAATGAGACAAGTAGTCCCAGTGAGGTGGATAGGTTTTCTGTCAGGAATAAAGTATTAGGAGGTCATGTCACTAATCTGGAAACCACTTTTTTTTTTTTTTTTTTTTTTTTTTTCTTCAGTGACTGGACATGTGTCTTCCTTGATAAATCTCGCACATCGAGGAAATTGCTTCAAAGGCAAAAAGATATTCTTTTCTAATTTGTGGTTTCACATGCTATTTTCCTGTCTTTACAAACAGGTTATTCCCCCTAATTGCCATATCAAAAGCTGTAATAAACACAGGGGAAGTTAATTTACTTAATAATTGGGAGCATGGTGCTGTCAAATAAAATGTGCAATAATGGAGGAAAAACTACACTTCACACTACTAAACTACTAAAACCTTAAGTATCAATAGTAACCTTAAGTATTCTTAGTAACTTTAAGTATCAATAGCAACCTTAAGTATCCTTAGTAACCTTAAGTATCATTCGCATGTAAATCAAACCAAGCAAGTGATCTCTCTTGGTTGTTGCTGTTCTTTTAAAGCATATCATGCCCTTCTGACAGACCTGTTTATAATTTTCTATAAAAGTTCACCCTTTGCCCTCACCACAAATGTGCAACCAATGTGATGCCCTGTTTCTATAGGGATTTATTTTCATGTATCAGTTTTTTCATGTATATGTTTTTACAGGTGGGCGAAAAAAAAAAAAAAAAGGCATTTACTTGGCATGGTTATTTTTGACATACAATAACAAAACCTTCCAGTAAAAAAAGAAAGATGGATATTCAGCACTTCCAAGTTAATTCAATTTGAGGAAATGTAATTGAGCAACCAAGGCAGATTCCTATCCGCTGGAAATTTCAAATGAACTTTCAGCAGAGGCCTTGCAGGCAGATTTGCATAGCTACGAAGAATTTTAACTTTTCTCCTTTAGGCACTGTTTAAGTAATGGAAAAATTCTAATTTAGTGTTAATTCCACTGGCTAAGAATTTCAAATCATTATTTCTCTTATCAGACTATTTTGTCTAGAATGTGAACTATTTTTATGGAAAAGCTTTTCAAATTTCAGAACAGACTGGACTGTAATTACAAGTACTCCGGACCCCAAATTTAGTAGGGAGCTTTTCAGATTAAAAGGAGAGCTTTTTGTGTAACGTACTTTCGTATGACTAAGCAAGTAGTTAGGAGCTCAGTCGTGCAGATGAGGAGAGTATTTCTCTCAGGAGTTCTTGTGCATTGCTTCCTGGCCGCTCCCTTTATAAATCCTAGATTTGCCAGTATAATCGGAGCAGAGTAATGCATGCTGGTGTCTGCTTTGAGAAACACTGTACCTAGCCCCTGCCATACATGCAGAATCCTTCCTTAAAATTACAAATCCAAACTTTGAAAAACTCAGTTCACTTTCCTCTGTTTGGAATTGCTTCACTAACACCAAAAGTGAATTCTACATATGATTTGGACTGAGCACATCCAGTTGCAGCTTCTTGCTCTGAGCATGATCCAAATTCCAAAAATTATAGCTGATTCTCTTTCTGCTTCATTTTCATCATATGCCTGGAGTCCTCTGTATGTTTCATTTATTTCAACAGTGAGTCAGTATTCCTCCTATCATCTAATGAGTTTTGGCAGACTGGGTGTTCCTAGTTTCCTCTGAGCATTTTGCCCTAGAGTGGTGTATGCTTACCA